TTTGATTTCATATGAATGTTTTCTTACAATTTCCAGGAGTAATCCAAGGCACTGGTATCAGTGCCGTGTTATTCCGTCAGCTCAGCTCTCAAAAACATAAAGAAGAAGAGACAAACCTTTCCGAGATCGTTCGATCATCCGTAGCAAACGGATTTTCTGTGGTGGTCAGCTGGAAGGTGGTGCTGCTGGTGGGGGCTGCTTGGCGGATCTGAGCTCCAGGGGACCACCAAGCTCGGCTTTGAGATCAAACATCCTCTCTAGAGCGTGCATGTTTTCCAGCGCCTCGTTCACCGTCCTGGTGTCACTGCCATCGCTTCTCATTGCATGGGCCCGTGGAGCAGCTTGTTGACGATTCCCCGGCTGAGGTCCTCGATGAGCTTCCTGTTCTTCTTGTACAACTCGTCGCCTCCCATCTTCGCCAGGCACTTCTCCAGCTTGCTGGTCCGGATCCTCTCCGCATAAGCTCCCTCCACGCCTCGAAGCTCCGGAGCTCCTCCTCGATAATGGTCTGGGCCTCCATGGCCTTCCTCCTCCTCTCTTCCTGGTTGGCGGTCACCACCTCTTTCAAGTCGTCCACATTGTAGAGCCTGACTCCGGAGACCTCAGCAACACAGGCCGCAACGTTCCGAGGGACCGAGATATCGATGAAGAACCTGGTTCCCAAAGGAGCAGCCGGGATCTTCTCAGCGTCACCTTTGTAGAAGAGTGGCTGGTCTGACGCTGTGCTCGTGAAGACAACGTCGGCCTCCCCGGCACATCTCATCATCTCGTCCAGAGACTGGTATTCGAGCGTGGAGTCTGGAAACTCGGTCATGTGCTGCTGCATCCTGTCGACCACCACCATCTTGGTGCAGCCTTTGGAGATGAGGTGCTTGAATAGCAGCTTGGACATCTTCCCGGCACCGCCGATCATGACTTGAGCTGCGGAGAGCCCCCAAAGCTCGCAACTTTCATCGCTGCTAGCTCCACCACCGCGGAGCTCACCGACACCGCCCTGGCCGCAATGCTCGTTTCCGTCCGGACTCTCTTGCCAGCCGTGATCACCTGCTTGAAGAGCCCATTCAAGTTCCTGCCGAATCCGTTGGCACCCTGCCCGACCTTGAACACCTGCTTGACTTGCGCGAGAATCTGCCCCTTGCCCAGCACGCACCTTGAACAAATGCTGTGTCGCGTCTCGGTCGCGTAGTATGAACAAATGCTGCCGGTGTTCTTCCAGAGGAACTCCACTAGTCTACAAAAGGAAGTTTTTAAGACTCTAGCACCAAGAACTTGAGAGCTCACCTTGGACATCCACTCGGGTCACCTCCTTGACACCACGAGAGAGCCACCACGTAAATCTCCACGCGATTACACGTACTTAGAACTGCCGCCTCCTCTATATGGTTGTGAGCAACGAGCTTGCCAATAGCACATGGCCATTCCGCCTCTGGAACGGCCAACTTCTAACGTAGCTCCACTGAAGCTGTGTGGACATTCAATCCTATCACCAGAATGCTGCTCTTCTCACTAGTATATCCTGCCAAGAACACAATCCAATCCAATCTTATCAGCTCAATCCAATCTACCCGTGGAAGAACGAGAAGAAAAATAGGAAAGCTAAATGCACCGGCATTTCGGAGCTGTTCTAGAACTGCCAAGCTCGCAGCCTTGGCCCTGTGACTGGGATAACTGCATCTATCATCTGTCTTGTTGCGCAAAAAAGCAATTCCAAGTTTTGCATGTGCCTAATGACATGGCAAAAATTAAGTAGGGCTTTGGGCCAATAGCTGTGATTAACCCAAAGTTAATCAATTGCTTCATTCAAGATTTGTCTCTTCAATGGCAGCAGCAGCAAGCGATTCTAATGTGGGGTCTCAAGACCATGTAGACTACAATTACTAGTCATCGCCAAATGATGTCTCACAGTAGCAACAACAAGTTCTAGGTGATGTGGTGGAGAGAGCAATGAACCAGGTTTGTGTTTATTTTGATAAAGTAGAATTTAATCACTTTTTTTTCCAGGATTTGAGCACTCTACACAACTTAGTGCTTCAAGTACTTAATGTATTCCAATATAGTTCTTTACAACTTGAGGAATAAGTGTGCAAGAAGACTTCAAACAGCCATTACATTTTCAAAGTCCCTTTGCTATTTTAGCAAGTACTAGCACCTAGTGTTTTTTGCTTTTTAAACCTTCTTTGTGGCCAGATCTAGGCACTTAGACACAAACTTCCAGCCAAGTGCCTTGTGGGATTGTAGGAAGTACTACTCAATTTTAGAATGTTTTTTCTTAGTTATGGGTTTGTAATGGGGTTTTTTAGATAAGTGCAAATCATATAGCATCCTAGATCCTGGCGTTTGGAATTTGATTGCTTCCTCTAAGGAAACACAATATGCATGTCTTCATACAACTTCATTCGGGTGGTGAGCCACTTCTTATCTATGTACTATCTCAATACGGTAGTTATGATTTCCAACATGAGGTCCACTCAACAAATATGGCATCGACATCAAAGTTCCTTAATATCAATTTCACTGACAACTATGGCATGCACTTTGCAACAGCTTCGATGGCAGCCAATGCTATTGATAAATACAGCCACCTTTGTAAGCCATCTAATTGGTTGTATATTCAACATTACAAGGTTAGAGCTAAGAATCTGAAATATCATTTGGGACTCCATTGTCTCTCAGTAGATATTTGTACGGCCACACATACTCGAGCATGGCTAGAAAAGGCTCCTCTAGTGTTTAACTTTGTCAAACTATCAGACATTGTTCCACTGAGTTAGTTTGCAAAGGATGTTTTTGCTTATACTTTTGCAACAGCTGTTGTGGCAATCATTGGTGTGGATCAAATGCCTAACACTACAAACATCATATTCATTGCTGATGATCTTGAAGTTGAAAACACCTATAAGGTATTTATAATATTCTAATTGGATTTTTTGGGTAAACTTCAAAAGCAGGTGCATGGGGATATGCCAAGTCATATTTTCTATAGTCTCCAAGGAACTAAAGATAAAAACATGTTCAGGATTGCACCCTTGATTATTGTCTTGAAAATTCTTGACGATATGTCTTGGGACCACATACAGAAGCAAATGCACTCTATCTTATCCAATATGTCTTTCTTGATGTTTACCAATGGTTCATAATGCATGTTTTGTCAATAGATGCATGTTTACTTCATCTCTAAAAACCCTCAAGCAATCTTTGTTTGTTATAGCTGCTATGTTTGCAAAAAGTTTAAGTTCGAGAAAAAAACATGAGATATGGGTTGGTGTCATACTTCAATTTAATGATGAATAACAAATTATATATAATGATATCCTTATCATAATTAACAACCCAATTGAGCAAAATCGATATATTTTCATTGATGGTCCTAGTGGTACTAGTAAAAAAAATTTCACACTCTTAACATACATTTCAATTTTTAAACAAAAATGTAATTAATATGACTTGGATAGATATTGCAAGCATTTTACTTCATAATGGTCAACTTCTGTTATTATAACTAATAGTGAAGCAGGCCAAAAAATTAAAAATGCAGATGTATTAATATGGGATGAAATTAGTATGGTTCACACACATGCATTTTTTGCCATTAATTTAGCATTAAAAAATATTTTTAAAAATGAATTGTTATTATTACAAGTGGTGACTTTAGATAAACACTATTAGTTATTCCACATGGTCATCGAGCACAAATTGTTTCAAATTCAGTAAAAATGAATAGGTTTTAGAAATTTTTAAGAACACTTTTACTAAAAAGGAATATGAGACTAATTAAAAACAACTCATTATTGGCTAATTAGCTTCTTCGAATTGAAAATAGTAATAATTATGTAAATTTACCCAATTTGCCTTAGATTTTTCAATTGAATTCCTAAATTCTCTTCTATTCTTCCACCACATAAACTCTTACTTAAAGAAGGTATTATCCTTATTTTATTAAGGAATATATATTTATCAACTGGACTATGTAATAGTACACACCTTATACTTAAACATTCGTTACCAACAATTCTAGATTGTGAAATTATATTAGGCCAATTCAAAGGTACACAAGCTTTCATCCCTCGAATCACACACACCTTTAGATATAGAAATTCTATTTAAACTGTCCAGAAGACAATTTCTAGTGTGTTTAGGGTATTGCTTTACAATCTCTAAATGTCAAGGCCAAACATTTGACTGAGTCGGAATACATTTGCCACATCCAATTTTCAGCTATAGCCAACTTTATATGGCTTTTATCAAGATGCAAATCATTAGCAGAACTAGGCATTAAAGTACAAAACACATCATTCCCTTAAGTCCTACTTTCACCATCAACACAATATATAAGGAGGTTTTATATTAAATCCTCCATGCATTGTTTGTAGCACTGAAACAAATTCTTAATATAAGTTTAATGAATAAATAAAAAAAGCCTTGAAAAGCTTGTATTATAACTGCAACATTCAAAACAGTATTTGCTAATAGGACAACATATGCTGGGTAAGTGCTAGTTATCTATAAATACAAATGCATATAAAAATAATATTAAATTTAATAATAATTTACTGCGCATTTCATCCAGCAATGCTTGGTTTGCTTAATAGTAGCATCATTTTTATCTAGTATTTTTTAATAATCCAATTGATCAATAATTGTAAACATGTATATAATTTATAAATCAAGATTAAGCTTATTGCATATCAACCATTAGAATAAATAAGAATATACTAGAAAGTGTTTAAATATAAATAAAAAATTAATTTAAATAAATAGCAACTGTTAAATGATAAAATATCCAAGCATATTCTAGGTTTGCTTAAGCAAGCCAAAAAATAAATTTATAATGTTCACATTTAGTTCTTTTTCTCTTTGGATTAAGAAGTAAATTAATTATTCTTCATTTTTCTGATGAAGTTGACACTAATGAATAAAAAATCTATCACCAAGCAATCCGCTATTTTTATATACAAGATCAATTGCTATGCTGTGTCTAACAGGAGCAAATACCCATCCTATAACCAAAACAATAAAAACCAGTAAGAAGAGAAACAAAGTTCTCAGGATTCAAACAACTCACATATCAGCAGCGCTAAGCGCAATTTGATCTCCAGATCCTGCAAATCAAGAGAGGGAAAAATCAATGTCTCAAAAGAAAACAAAAAATCAATGTAAGAGGTGATGTCAATATATTACAGGAGAGAGAGAGAGAGAGAGAGAGAGAGAGAGAGAGCACACCCCATGGGCTGAATCGTGGCGTGGCGAGAGAGGAACAAACCTACCTGAGGCAGAGGAAACAGTAATCTCAGCCTTGCGCTTGGTAACCAGCGTGATCTTCTTGGTAACCGGCCGATCTTGCCTCCCATTACCAGTCGCCTCCACTCTGATCCTCCTCAGCGGATCATCTGGCGGATGATCAAACATCACACATTGCGAACCAAGAACAAGAAAAACAAAATCCCCAAAACTTCACGCTCGCGCGTCCGCCCAAAGCCCTACCATTGACGAAGACGCCATCGGTGTCGAGCTCCATCACCGCCCTGTGTCGATCTGCAGCGTTGCTGCTACTCCTCGCACATCCATCGTCCTCCCAAATGCGCCTCCAACTCCCCATCTCTCTCTCTCTCTCTCTCTCTCTCTCTCTCTCTTCTATTTCTTCCCTCTTCTTCGCGAATCGAAATGTTACGACGCTGTTTTATCGCCCAGTTAGGTCACAATCATCGAGCGACACGTAAGCGCTGTAAGCTTTGGACACCTGGCGCGATCTCGTTTGATTTTCTCCTTTTTAAATTTTCTAGGATTCTTTACGAGCCAGGGGCGCGCTCCATGGACAATATCTTCCAGCCGCATTCTCAGGCCTTCAAACAGCGGCATCATCGTCAGGGGCGTGGCCGACGATTTCGATCAGAATGCGATGAAGACCAAGGCTCCAGGCAAGGCGAGGGAAGATGGAGAGGCCACAAAGGCGGGCAAGGAGAAGGAGGACAAGCAGGAGGTGAGTGAATTGGATCTACTGGATTTGCAATTCGCGAAAATCGAGACTACAACAAGAACAACAATAGCAAGCCGGAGTCCCTGGAGCCAATCGTCCAGGAGATCCCGCTCCTACCGCCCTTTGGATCTGACGAGGAGCTCATCGAGTACGCGACTGCGGTCGTGAAAGAAACGCCGTGGCGGCAGCTCTACACCAAGCTCGCAGTTCTAGTCAAGGCTCAGCACGTCCCAGAGATCATCAAGGATTCGCCGGTGGTGTTTAGTTTCTTCATGTGGGTGAGAGCCAGGCGACACATCCGTCTGGATTCCTCCATGTTTTACGCTGCTCTTCGAGGTTCTAAGCTCCACCGACAAGTCGGAGGAGATGCTCGACCAGATGCCAACGTGGATTCCCCATTGTTGTGACGGTGATGCTTGGCTGGACAGGGCCGGGGACGCTCTCAAGCTCTTCTTGAAGATGGAGGAGCTCGGGGTGAAGTATCTGAAGACCTTAACTTTCAACTGCGACTTACAGTTTGATATGGTACACAAGAGGATGACGATGATGAGGAAGATGAACGCTCTCACGTACGAGATTCTCATCGCCAAGATCTGCCGGGCGAGCAGGCTTGCTCGCTCTTCTGGGAGATGATCAAGTCCGGCTATGCTTCTCCCGCGGACTGTGTGCCGGTGGTGGAGAGCAGCTAGATCGAGATGGTGTGGAGCTTCATCAAGGAGCTTCCCAAGCTTCCGGACTGCGATTTCGACGAGAAGATCATATACTCTCTCGTCAAGGGACTTATGGACAGGGAGAGGCTTCATCTGGCAAGGAAGCTGTTTCAGTCGGTGCTGAGCACGGGGAAGAAGTTGCCGGCGGATACTTACAACCTTTTCATCCTCAAGCTGCGCACGACGGCAGCGAGCAGACCTTTGATCTCATGAAGCAGAACGGATGGCGTTCCAGACACGCGCAGCTCGCTGGTGCGAGCGGGATCGATCGGCGAGGCGTATCAGCTCTTTGCGGAGATGATGGACAAACGCTACCAGGCTATCACTTACATACTCGTGCAGATCCTCAACAGGGACGGGAAGATGAACGCGAGCACCGACACGGAAGCCATGACGAAGCTCAAGGAGAAGGGAAAGTTTGAGGGAGCAGGGACGTACCTCGACAAGCTTTCGCAGCAAAAACTTTTGCCGTCTGGGAAAGGCAAGGGATCGAAGGGAAGGTTCTGGTGAAAGTGTTGCAAAAGGATGGACGGAGGCTGGAAGATCTCCACATGTTTCGTTCTACTCGCAAAAGCTTGGATTTCGGCAAGAGGATGTGAGTTAACTTTATATATGTTTTTCGCGCTCTCGATTTGATAGTTCTGTTTTGTTTTGTGCAGTAGCTTTGAGAGAACTTTGCACTGCTGTGAGTGATCTGAAGCATTGATTTGGAAGTTTGGAGAGCCGTGTGTGGAATATCTCCTACACGACGACAATAATGCAGGTATGGGATAATATTCTCTCGGAAGTGCGGCTGCCTCCACTGTCGCTGGCGGCTGCGCAAAGCGGCCACGCTATATATAAAGTCGTGGAGCCAGGTGATAACTCGCCACTCTCATTTTCAGAGCTCTCAGTGCTATTTGATTCCTTCCAGCTTGACATCTTTCTTGCAGACCGCTTTCAATCGATCGTCTCTGTTCCCCAGCCTCGAGAAAAGTCCACTTTGCTGTTCCAGTGCTTCTCTAGCTCGTCCGTCTTTGAAAGATCAAGCTTTGGCCGATCTGGTTGATCCGAGATGGGATTTCTGGCAAGGTTGTGGGACGATGTTGTTTCTGGGCATGATCCTGGGATGAATCTGCGGGATCCAAAGCTTGAAGGATCATCGCAAGGAGCTCCTTTCGCCCAACGAGAGAAAGACAAGTCAGGGAATACGAGTGATCGAGAACGAAGAACCGGAGATCCGAGCGTTACAAGACAATTATCTCCCAGTGTCTCGGATTGGCTCGTTCTCAGCATTCTAGACAGATGACAAAAAAAGCTTCTCAAAGTTTGCTCTTTGCAAAGAAAGATCTTTGTCTTGTGAAAGTCTGCTCTTCACAAAAATCTACGTGATGATCTAGGCTTGAAAAGAAAAATCTTCTAAATGAAGTTCTGATTGGTGGATCCAAACTTTCGATTCGATCTTGGATTAAATGATTTTGTTCCACCACAAAATCATAGAAAATTTCAACCATCAGTAGCGGAAGTTCTTTATATTCATCACCACCATCTCAGAGAACATCGTTTGGTCTTTCACATTCTCTCCAGTGTTCTTACTTACCTTGATCTCTTTCTTTCAGCGACCTGTGAATCCAGACAGCGAACGCTTTGAATTGGTTTGGATTCATGAAAGTCGCCGAGAATTGAATTGAATGCCTCGTCCAGCGCCCTCGAGAATTCCTTCTCTACACTGCCATGGCGATGGATCCCTCCTCCTGGAAGTGGAGGAGCAAGAGCATGGCTTCCCTCTCCAGACGAAGCCCAAGGTAGAGGATCATCAAAACGTAGGCCAAGATCGCGAGAGCTCCCAAGGGCCCGAGCGCCGCACGGTACAAGCTCGCAGCGCTCGAATCCATCACGGCTGTGGAAACGAAATAGCCGCCAGCAAACGCGACGCAAATGCCAATCGCCCACGCCACTAATCTCATCATCAACACACAAAGGAAGAAACAACGCATCGATGGATAGAAAACGAATCGCGAGGACCTACAGTGGTTCCTGAGCCCTCCATCGTCGCAAGAGCCACAAAGTTCTCCGCGAGAGAATGGATGGAACAGGACATCTTATAAAGTCCCATCTTATATGATTCCCCTCCACTACGAGGACGTGATGGGCATCCTGGAAAGGAAGAGAAGATCGCGAGATTCACAAAATGAAATAAGGCATTGTTTTGGATCTATGGTGAGGGCTCCAGATCTGCGTTGGAGAGAGGAATTCCAAGGCAGAGAGAAAGGAAAGGAACCATCGTCATTCTTTTAGCACCACACTCATACATACAATGCGGGTTATCTGAATTTCCTAAAATTAAATGCCCTGTGTCTGGTCGTTCGTGGGAGAGTGGAGCTCCGAAGATGGCTCTGGATATGATGCAAAGAAGTGACTACCATCCATGCATTTTCTCAAAAGGCTTGTGTGATTCCAGAAGGAAGAAGTGAGCTGTACTTCACAAGGAGGATGACATGAGCGAGCTGCAAAGATTGTCAGCTGATGCTACAGCCGATGCACAAAACAACTTGCAAGAGAAAATTCACCACCAAGGTCGTTGCATCCGAATAACAATCTTTGAGCGTGAGGCTTTATTCGCAAGTCCATCACTAGCATCTTTAGCCAAGTTACAGACTTAAGATGTTCGATTTGGGAAGGCTGGCCGATATCAGCAATAGAGCCACTCATCTCTGCATTCGTGCCAGGCCGGAGATCCCAGAGCTTTGGTAATGTGTTTCCAGTTTTCATGTGAAACGATAACCAGGGTGCAGCTAGTTTCAGAACCAATTGTCGGTATAAGGAATCAAGGAAACGTTTTGTAGAATTACCTCGAATTGCCTCGAATGGAAGGCTCAGTGGCAGAAGACCTGGAGGAGTTCAGCAAATAAACAGCTCATGAGATCATCAAAACAGCTTACTATAATCTGTTAGTCTCATGGTTTTTGGTGGGTGCCACAATACCTTGTAAATAGCTAATGAATGAATGAATGAAATGAAACCGAGAGGAGATTCAAGTTCTATACCTTTAAATAGTTCCAACTCTGCATATAATAACCTGAACTTTGGTGAAGTATGTTTGAGAATCACAAGAATGGTTAAGGAGCTCCAGGGGTTCGTTTTATAGTCGTTGAAGCAATGAACCTAACAACCTCAAAGTAAGCACAAGCACAATGCCAGAAAATTATACCTGGACATCAACTTACACTTCAGGTACTTTCTGAAAAAAATTCTGCCTTATGGTCACATGTAAACCTTGAGCTTACCATCAATTCTGACTACCATGTTTACTCCTGAAATCTATGAGTAAGAATATATAAACGGACAAAATTCCAGATGTTTACATCCATGTCTAAAACATCGAGATGGACAGCATAAACTTCATGTGACATCCGTTTGAAAGCTTCAAATGACCTAGATCAACCTTGATGTACTGCCTAGGGTGGGTGCCAACAGTTCTAATCCACATAGCACCATGGAATTGATCCATGTGACTGGCTTGGGCTGTTTCTTTCTCTTCTTTTCTTTTTCCTCTTGCTCTGGCTGCTCCTGAGCTCAAGGAACTTGCCAATTGCAGCTGTAGAGGCCTTGTTGCAGGAGATTACTACCCACCAGCTCACAACACTAAGGAGATGTTGCACATAGATTCTTCAGTGAATCCTTCTTACTCCTAGCTTTTCAGTCATGACAGAAACGGCCTTTATCTCTCTCCCACACACAACTTTGTTCTCAAATGTGCCTAGGAACACTGTTGGTTTGCAGCTGTTTGCAATGCACACCAAGATTCTCAAATCCAACTTGCCCAAGAAGGTGACAAGCTCTTTCTTGCATCAGGACTTGCTCCCAATCAATCCAACTCTGTAGAGAATTCTCTCAGGACTTCCAGAACGTTCAAGATCCCTTCTTTGCAATACTAGAAAGATGGGACAAGCTTAGAATCCTCTCTAGATACTCCAGAACTTCTTTGAACACAGTTAAATTGCTGTTATAAGCTTGGGAACATTGTTGGACTGTAGCTGTTTGCAAGTTACAAAGAGATTCCTCTCAAAGAACACTCTCCTCTTTCTAACAAAGATGCAAACTTGTTTCTAAGACCAAAGGGTCACAATTGTCTTTCCAGCCTCCCTTTTATCCTCCAAAGCTGAGATCCTTTTGATGTTTATGATGCTTGCCATCTCCCAGAATCTTGGATGGTTGTCTTACCTCCTTGGGTGATCTTTTTGAATTGTCCATGCTGGGAATCTCAAAGATTCTTTACTTAATATATCACCATCCACGTCATATGTCACATGGATCAAACGATTCTAGCATTTCTCCAGTATAACCATATCGCCTTACCCACCTCGAGGATGCAAAATTCTTTTGCACCCTCATCATACCTACATTTCTTCAACTTTTACATCCTTGTTTTCAGCATCCTCTACTATCACAACTTCCTTCACATGTTCTAGTTCTTTTTTAGCTATTGAGACTTCTTTGTTACTGATGATGCTAGATTCCCTTGAATTCCCCCTCTGTCAATTTCTACTTCCTCCAAAAGGCTCTAGTCTCAAGTCTTCTTAACTTCATTATCTTTGTTGCTTACTCCTTTTGTCTCCTCTTGATGAGCTTCCGCGATTCTTACCCCACCTTATGGACTCATCTCAATCCCACTTATAATCTCCTTTAGGTTCAGTTGATTATGTCATGTTAAAGCCTCCATGTCCCCAGGTCCTTCTTCCAACAAGATTCTTCACTCTTCTCCATCCTTCAGCTCCTGGCTTCCCTGGCTGTATCTGATTCTGATCCTTGGAATATTCTCTCTCTCTCTCTAGCTCTTTAGAACAAAAGAAAAAGGGCATCACCATTTCACATAAAAGAGTGAAGGGTTCCCAACAAATGGTGATTGAATTCCTAGTTAGCTTTTGGTTCATAGCTTGATTCTCTTGTCTTTTAATATTCTTCTACTTTTGTCTTGTTCTTCACTAGATCTCCGATGAGAGGCAGCATTAGCAGAGGAGGATAGGCACATTGGAGTGATCAATCGTGAGGTTTCTCCAATAGCACAACCCCAGATCTAGAGAATTTTTTCGTTTCTTTCATTTTCATAGTGAATTTCTTCCATCTCGGGCATTGTATTAATTTTTGAGGTTTTAGGTTCCTAGATCTGCTCCAGATATGTGTTCTAGCATCAAGAATTCTTAGATTTAGCAGCTAGAGCAGAACATACAGCCATTCTCACAGTACATTATAGTCACTTTGGAAGGCTTGTTTTCTTTCTTTTCTCCACTATTCAAATTTTTTCTGAGCATGTTGGATAGATTTGCTCTGGAGCTTTTCCTAGAAAGTTTAATTTTGAGCTGGGTTAGAATGGTTTTGAGTGAGCATATTCTCTCATAAGATCCCATTGCAGCAACTCATGCAAGATCTTATCCAATTCTAGCAAGGCACACACAAATCAGTGTTTAATTATACAACTTGATTCAAGGCATTCTAGAAGTTATGTCTTGATCACAAGGCCATACAGGAAGAGGCTATTGGTATCTCTGCTTATGTTCAAAATCTCAAACCTAGACTACAATGAGAGGTGGCAAAGTGGCAGCACCAACAATGCTTGGATGCTTATGCTCATGCAATTGGGCTTGAAATAGAAATGTTTCACAAGCTTGGAGTGTCATTCACAGAGGAGCTTGTCCAAGGGCCTTTGGTTGAATATCCTTGTGCTACTTTTACACCTTAATTTTGCATCAAGCCAGCAGGCAGTTAGATGCCTACAACAATTGAAGCAGCTTTGGCAGAATTCATCCTCTAGCAATAACAAAAGTAACAACTCAAGCTGATCCAGGAGCTCCATGCCTTGAGACTCCTTACTGGGACTCACCCCTCTTGCCCTCCATGCCGGTGTGATGAGTGTCACTCTAATACACATGATACAGCTCGTTGTTGGCACCTTCACCTTGAGCTTTGCCCTCCTCATCAACTCCTCGTACAACAGCAACAATCTGGAGACAACTCCTTGTTAGCATCACTGTCCAGTTCGAGCAGATACCAGTAGATGCTTCAACAATGCACTATCAAGGCAACTCCATCATCATCTAAAGATTGTGGAAAAGATCCAGCTCGCATTAACGTGATCAAAATTTATGAGAAAGAAGAAGTAGCAGCTTGTAGCAGCAACTATGCTCAGAAGCAGAAGGCCACAGCTACCCAGGAATTAGATGGAAAGGCAAATCCAAATCTCAAGGATTCCAATCTAGCAACACTTATGGCATGCAATTGCCATTTCCTTTGGTTTTTCCACTTGATCTAGCACACTAGAACGTCTTCCAAAACTAACTACTTGCAATAGGAATAACACTTGCTCGACACATAAGTCTCCCTCTCGCTCAGCCATCTTTTGTGAGTATGGTCAGAGCGTCTGGCCCAGATCCTTCTCCCACTCTACCAGCACATCCAGTCCATCAGATCTTGGAGTGTTCATTATCCCAACAAAGGTGGCAGGCATAGACAATACTTTGGCTAATTCCAAATTTAGCATGAACATTATCTTCTTAGAGATCACCAAACATGCTTGCCTTGGCATCTTTCTGCACTCCTCAGTTGTGCTCAAATCATTTGCAAATCATATAATTCATCTAGTCGCCATTTGCTATGATGTCCCTATTTCTACACATGGTGTCACAATGAATGTGAATCATATCATTGTCAACTGCTCTACACTTGAAGCCCCCTTCTCTCAATGAGTCTTTGATCCTTGCACATGGCAAGGAGAGCAGGATATATAATGATTGGCAAAGGGGAGAACATGCCTAAAATTTTGAACAATCCCCATGGGGACTTCTCTGTGTGAGTCTTCTTCCACCAGTGATACAACAACAGCAACAAAGGAACCTTTCAACCCTGAGGAGTATGAGGATGACAATCCATTTGACATCATCTTCTGCTGGATGATCACAAGCTTAGCCTCTTTACTTGAGACTTAGGCTTCCCATGATGATATTGCCTCACCTACAGGCACTCATGAGCTTTTGGACGAGGAGCAACATTCAAGTTTTCTAGCGGACAAGCTTAAAGACAACAGCAGCAACACTTTCACTACTACAGTCTCTCTTGGAGCAGATCCTAGTGACTTAACAAAGCAGGAGAATGACACAGGAGTGAACCTATGTGCTGTTTCTTTTGGTGGCAAACAAGGGCCACTCGCAGCCAATTCATGCCCGACCATGGCACTTGTAGCACCAATGAAGAATGAGGCTGGGCAGTGAAATTTGAGCTCCCTTCTTGGACAGATATCCACATGTCTACTCTTATCTACTAAGTTATTCTTTCCAGGATCATTTTGGCTCTAGATCCTTTTCTTCATCAGTAAGGACCCTGTCCCATCAACCTAAGCAACTCACAGAAGCTTTTCAAGATGGCACATAAGAGCTATACAACAAAACCCAACATTTCCTACAAAGTTGGCCACAACAAAGCAATGACAATTTTTCTGGACTTTGACCACATTCATGAGTTTCCAAACACCAGAGGCCACTCTCTTTAGCTTCTAACTGCCAGCAAACACCTTGGAGTCATCACTTTCCATTAGCTACATCATTTCAATAAGGCACAACACTCAGGATCTCTTCCATCTTTGGCTCCGGTTTCCAGCACCAACTCTCCTAGCAAGATGGATCCTTTTGATGTGTCTTATAGGCCACAAAGATCTAGCCAAGTTGTAATTGCTTTGCACTCACGAGTTTGCAGCTACATTTGCTACACTCGACACCACCATCTTTCTACCAGCAACTAAGGCAAGTTCCTTTCTTTTGACAACATCACTTATCAACCTCTAGGAGCAGCAGAAGCTGAGGCACTCCAAATCTTGAGCAGCATTGTTTGTGCATCTAGATTCTCTCAACACTACAAACTTTGCATTGACATGCCCGACCTAAGCATGAGTTCTAGTAGCGTTCAAGGTACCCTACAGGACTCCCTCTGCCCTCCAGATGTGCACTCCATCATGGCTACATTCATCAAGAGCCAATGACCTTCTCAAGTGGTCACAAGGCAACAAATTCCAGCCCGGGCTTTGGTTATCTACAACTTGGAGCTGCCTTTGAGCACCGTGGCATACATCTACCATGCCGGAAGAGCAGTGCATGATTTGTTTTCATTACGTTTGCATGAAAGAATGCTAAAAGGTACTTGAAATGTGTGTACTTCTTATTATGTATTATGTACAGCAGCATAGAAACTTCAATTGTAACTCCATCTCGACATTTCTTTGTTTGGCGTCCAGGATCAGTTTGCAGCTCCCAGGTACACACTAAGTCACTCACAAAGCTTTGCTTCGAGACAACCGAGTGGCAGTCATACACAAGGGAAGCAATCCATTTACTCTGCTGGTTCATGATCACCACCCTTGCTTGCCATGTCAGCCCCCCAGCTCACCAGTTTGACCAGGTTGACATGCAATACAATCGCACATTCACATGAGAACCTAGAACCATGGATCTTGAATGGTAAAGCTCCATGAGAAGAGGGTTCACAAGTGGCCTTCTAGCTCAGTTGGTCAGAGCGTCGTGCTAATAACGCGAAGGTCACAGGTTCGAGACCTGTGTGGGCCAACTATCATTTTTTCCTTTATGCTTTAATGTTTTAGGGCTTTGTTTAATGCGAGGGTTTTTCTAGGGTTCTTGCGAGATGAGGGTCGGATTCCAGATCGCCAGGGCGGTCGCAAGAGCGGTCCATGGATCCGGCAATGCGGTATCTTCCAGCCGCATTTTCAGGCCTTCGAGCAGCAGCATCATCGTCAGGGGCCTGGCCGACGATTTCAGCAGCCTCTTCGATCAGAATGCGATGAAGACCAAGGCTCCAGGCAAGGCGAGGGAAGATGGAGAGGCCACAAAGGCGGGCAAGGTGAACGAGGACAAGGAGGAGGTGAGTGAATTGGATCTACTGGATTTGCAATTCGCGAAAATCGAGACTACAACAAGAACAACAACGGTGAGTGATAGCAAGCCGGAGTCCCTGGAGCCAATCGTCCAGGAGATCCCGCTCCTACCGCCCTTTGGATCTGACGAGGAGCTCATCGAGTACGCAACTGCGGTCGTGAAAGAAACGCCGTGGCGGCAGCTCTACACCAAGCTCGCAGTTCTGGGTGATCAAGTCAAGGCTCACCACGTCCCAGAGATCATCAAACGAGCCAAGGATTCGCCGGTGGTGTTTAGTTTCTTCATGTGGGTGAGAGCCAGGCGACACATCCGTCTGGATTCCTCCATGTTTACGTTGCTCTTTGAGGTTCTAAGCTCCACCGACAAGCCGGAGGAGATGGAGTGGCTCCTCGACCAGATGCCAAAGTGGGGGATTCCCGTGGAGGACTCCATGGTTGTGACGGTGATGCTGGCTTACGGGAGGCTGGACAGGGCCGGTGACGCTCTCAAGCTCTTCTTGAAGATGGAGGAGCTCGGGGTGAAGTATCCCAAGACCTCGACTTTCAACTGTATCTTGCGACTACTCCTCAACGCGGGCCGGAACTTACAGTTCGATATGGTACACAAGAGGATGACGATGATGAGGAAGATGAACGCTCTCACGTACGAGATTCTCATCGCTAAGGTCTGCCGGTTTGGCGCCGCCGAGAGCGCGTATGAAGTCTTCCAGGAGATGAAAGATGTGGAGCACCAGCCGAGCGTGGCTGCGTACGCGAGCTTGGTGGAGAGCTTGAGCAAGGCGGGTAGAGAGGACATAGCTATCCAGGTGCTGGAAGAGATGGAAACTCCTTCAGCCGAGGTTTACAACCCGCTGGTGAGGAACTTGGTCCTGGCAGGGAAGCTAGGTGTGGCACTGACACAGTACAAGAAGATGCTGGAGGCTAAACTCAAGCCGGTTTCCTCGACTTGCATTCCCATACTCACGGAGCTCGTGATCACCGAGAGAAGCGAGCAGGCTTGCTCGCTCTTCCGGGAGATGATCAAGTCCGGCTATGCTTCTCCCGCGGACTGTCTGCCGGTGGTGGAGAGCAGCTACAAGAAGTGCAAGATCGAGATGGTGTGGAGCTTCATCAAGGAGCTTCCCAAGCTTCCGGACTGCGATTTCGACGAGAAGATCATATACTCTCTCGTCAAGGGACTTATGGACAAGGAGAGGCTTGATCTGGCGAGGAAGCTGTTTCAGTCGGTGCTGAGCACGGGGAAGAAGTTGCCGGCGGATACTTACAACCTTTTCATCCTCAAGCTGCGCACCACCGACGGCAGCAAGCAGATCTTCGACCTCATGAAGCAGAACGGATGTGTTCCGGATACTCGCAGCTACAACGGCATGATCGAGGCGCTGGTGCGAGCGGGATCGATCGGCGAGGCGTATCAGCTCTTTGTGGAGATGATGGACAAAGGCTACCAGGCTGATGCGATCACTTACAAGCTGCTCATGCAGATCCTCAGCAGGGACGAGAAGATGAACGCGAGCACCGTCACGGAAGCCATGACGAAGCTCAAGGAGAAGGGGAAGTTTGAAGCAGCAGGGACGTACCTCGACAAGCTTTCGCAGCAAAAGCTTTTACCGTTTGGGAAAGGCAAGGGGATCGAAGGGAAGGTTCTGGTGAAAGTCTTGCAAAAGGATGGACGGAGGCTGGAAGATATCTACATGTGAGACGCAAAAATTTGGGACAAGATGTGAGTGGAACTTTATATATGCTTATCCTTTCACTTCGCTCGATTTGATTGTTTTGTTTTGTTTTGTACAGTGGCTTTGAGAGAACTTTGCACTGCTGTGAGTGATCCGAAGCATTCATCTGTGGAGAGCGAAGTTTGTGTGTGGAATATCTCCCACACGACGACAATAATGCAGGTATGGGATAATATTCTCTCGAAAGTGCGGCTGCCTCCACTGTCGCTGGCGGCTGAGCAAAGCAGCCACGCTATATATAAAGTCGTGGAGCCAGGTGAAAACTCACCACTCTCATTTTCCGAGCTCTCCTCGTCGCTGTTTGATTCCTTCCAGCTTGACATCTTTAGTTCTCTCTCTTGCAGACCCTTTCGATCGTCTCAAGCCTCGAGAAAAGTCCACTTTTGAGCTCCAGTGCTTCTCTAGTTCGTCTGGCGAAGGTGTGAAAAATCAAGTTTTGGCCAATCTGGTTGATCCGAGATGGGATTTCTGGCACGGCTGTGGGACGATGTTGTTGCTCATGATCCTGGGATGAATCTGCGGGATCCAAAGCTGGAAGGATCATTGCAAGGAGCTCCTTTCGCCCAACGAGACAAGGACAAGACAGGGAATATGAGTGATCGAGAAGGAAGAACCAGAGATGATCCAGGCGTTACAAGACAATTATCTCCCAGTGTCTCGGATTGGCTCGTCCTCAGCATTCTAGACAGATGAAAGAAAAAGACTTCATTGTCTTGTCAAAGTTTGCTCTTCGCAAAGAAGGATCCAAATCTATTCCTTCGTCTTGTGAAAGTTTGCTCTTCGCAAAAAGCTATGTGATCTAAGCTTGAAACGAAAGATTTCCAAATACTCGAGTTCTTTGACTGAAGTTCTGATTGGTGGATCCAAACTTTCGCTTAGATCTTGATGCAGTGTCACAAAATCTCAGAAACGTTTGAAACATCCAGTAGCAGAAGTTCATTACATTCATCACCATCAGAACATCGTTTGGATCTTTCACACTCTCCAGTGTCCTTGCTTCAGAGAGCTGCTTCGATTGGATCCACCAAAGTCACCGAGAAGTGAATCGTCCCTCGAAGTTCCTTCTCTACACGACCATGGCGATGGAGGAGCAAGCATGGCTTCTCTCTCGACGAAGCCCAAGGTAGAGGATCATCAAAACGTAGGCCAAGATCGCGAGAGCTCCCAAGGGCCCGAGCGCCGCACGGTACAAGCCCGCAGCGCTGGAATCCATCACGGCAGTGGAGCCAGCAATCGCGACGAAAATGATGAGTCTTATCTTCTACACAAGGAAGACGAAACAAACAACGCATCGATGAATAGAAAAGGAATCGAGAGGATCTACAGTGGTTCCTGAGCTCTCCATCGCGGCAAGAGCCACAAATTTCTCCGCGAGAGAATGATATGATTCCTCTGATAAGGAGTCACATAAAAAGCATTGCTTTGAATCTATGGTGAGGGCTCCAGATCTGCGTTGGAGGGGTGGCTGCCAAGGCAGAAAGAAAGGAGCCATCGCCAGTCTTGTGGCACCACACTCATACAATGCGGATCGGATCGCTTATCGCGCATTGCAATCAGTACGATGGTGCGCCGCTAAAAACCCTAAACTATCCATGGAAGAACCCTAATATATGAGATTAAAGGTTTTAGGTCACGTTCTTGCAGAGAATGAGGATGGCATCTACTCGAGAGAACACGCTCGAGCTGCAAAGCATCAGAGATTCTCGACGAGTTTTCGATGCGATTAAGACCCATGAGTCTGATTTTCCTAGCGGCTCTTGGTCCACACGCATCACACAGGACAGCCCCAAACTAGGGCATCTCCGGGTGTTTGGCTGCGTTGCCTACGCTCACATTCCAGATGCTCAGCGCCAGTTGATCACGACTGGATGATGGATTTGTATGCCGGACGTCTAGACAACTCGATTCAATAGAGCAGCACATCATTTCCTGGACGGCGATCATCACAGCCACCAAGCCCGATCAAGAAACAAGGCTATCTATACAGAAAGCAATGAAATACACTCATTTGGTCTTGTTGACTTGCTTTGCTCGCTAGGCTCGCCGAGTTGAATTATTTCTACCTTGAATTTTAAGATTCGAAATGATTCTTGACTATGCAAGGGTTTTTAGGGGAATGGCGTTGTTTTGTGCGTGTCAATGTTTCTCTTACAAAAGGTTAAGGAGCTGGTTTTTCTTCATTAGACTTGGTATTAATGTTTTTCTTGTAAACTCTTGGCTAAATTATCATCTTAACCAAATTTGGTATTATTTTCTTTTACAAGGTATGTGCTAATGTTCCGAATGAAGCTCCGGAGATGGCACTAATGGAAATATGATTGATGGTCAAATAAAACAATAAAATTAACCTTTTTAGTTAGTAGTCAAGCAATTCTTAATTTCAACAAGTATTTTTATTTACAAATGAGTAATGTGTGTTGCAACTTGTCCAGCCAGAACATATACTGTAAAAGCTATGTTGTAATTTATCATATTTTCTGCTTTTTGAGCTTAATAATAAATCAGTATGCCATGGTTTATTATAAAATATTCCTATAGTTAATAATCCATTATCTAAAGAAACAAATCCCCCATGAAAGTAAAGATTACATTCGTTCCATATAATATTATAAGCCTCAATTATGTCATCCAAAATATTTGGGTAATATGATTCAATAGTAAAAGACACAACTATGTTGTGGTTGAAAATAAATCGTCTATTGCCAATATTCTTTTGACGGACAAATTCTAAAATCTGATATTTAAAATCACAAACCCCTTGTTGTGTGAAATACTGACTTGTATATCCTGTAATACAACCTTTCATGAATTCAGAGCTCATTCCCGATACTTTATTAACCATTAAAGAAACTGTTACTATGAATAATTTTGTTATCATTTTTAACACTAAATCTCAGCCTTGCAATATATAAATAGTGTTGTTAAGAATAGTAATTCAACATTTGGCACAAAATTGTAATTGCTTCGTCGAGAAGAATAACACGGCCTAAAGTGTGCTGTAGTGCTCCATTCCCTGGAGTGATACTATTGCTGCCAAGCCATATTTCACCTTTTCAAATATTAGAGCTCTTCCATTCAAACTTTTGCCGTTCACAAATTCCTGAATCATTGACTGTTGACCGTTTACTTTTATTTTGTCATCTCTTCTGTTCCTTGTAAATGTCTGATATCAACACGAAGGCCGAAGAACTGGTCTCTACATTTTTCATGGCTTGGAAAGCAATGGTTCCAGTCGATGCATTCTTCCACTTCCACGACGAGCTAAGAACGCTCGTCCACAGTGGATCACTCGCCTCGCAAGGAATGCTCTTCGCCATAGCCACCGCCTCGTCCAGTCGATCAGCTCTTCCCAGCAAATCCACCAAACAAGTGAAATGCTTCACGTCTGGAGCAACCCCGTGCTCCAAAACCATGGCCTGGAAGTAATCCTTGGCTCGATCGACCAGGCCGGCGTGGCTACACAGCACTAGCATCGCCAGGAACGTCACTCCATTCGGCCGGATTGGAGTTTCACCGCTGCAAAGCCTCTCGAACGCTTCAAACGCCTGCTTGCTATCACCCTGCCGGCTATACCCATCGATGAGAGCGTTCCAGGAAACGATGTCTCTTCTCTTGCCTCCGATCCACTCGAAAACTCTGCGAGCGTCCGCCATGCTTCCACACTTCCCGTAGAAATCCACCAAGCTGTTGCAGACCATCGTATCCTTCTCGCGGATGCCGGCGCTGGAAATCTCTGCCTCCACTTTCCTGCCGGCCTCTAGAGCTCCCAAGCTTCCGCAAGCCTTGAGCACCGCGACGTAAGTTATAGCATCCGGAGTGAAGCCTTCCCGTTTCATTCGAGAGTAGAGCTCGAGAGCTGCGTCGGCCTGGCCACTCTCCGTGCTTCCCAGAATGAGAGAGTTCCACGACACTGTGTTTCGCTGCTCCATCTTCTCAAAGACACCGCGAGCCTCGGCCAAGCTTCCACACCTCGCGTACATGTCGACTAAAGCGCTTGCTACGAAGATCTGCTGTTCGTTTCTGGTTGTGGCAGCATCGAAGTGAATGCCCCGGCCTTTCTCCAAGCACTGTGTCCTGTTGTTCTCGTCCCCCTCTGCCAAGCTCACGCAGGCCTTGAGTGCTGCGAGTATAGTGACGTGATTCACCGGACAGCCTTCTTCTTTCATTCTTGTGTAGAGATCTAAAGCCAGCTTTCCTTCACCGGTCTCAGCATAGCCTAGAATCATCTCACTCCACGAGAGCTGGTCCTTGTGATGGATGGCTGAGAAAACTCTGCTAGCGTCTTCCATGCTCCCACACTGAGCATAAGCATGCACGAGACAGTTTGCGACGAAAGCGTGTAGATCATGGCTCGTTGATTGAGTAGCTAGAGTGTGTATGGCTTTGCTTCTTGACAAGCTCGCCACCTTCACCACTTTCCCGTTGACAAGAGTGCCTGCTTCGCTCTGCGCCAAGCACACACAAGCCTTGAGTGCTGCGAGAAAGGTTACGTGGTTTGGAGCACAGGTACCTTCTTCTCGCATCCTAGCAAACAGCTCCAGAGCTTTCTCGCCTTCGCCACCCTCTGCATAGCCGAGAATAATAGAGTTCCAGGTGACCAGATCGAGACTGCTCATACCTTCAAACACCCCGCGAGCGAGAAGCAAGCAGCCGCATTTGGAGTACAAATCCACGAGCGCGTTTGCAACGAAGACGTGCATCTCTTGAGCGTGTCTAGCCGCTTGAGCGTGAAGGATTCTTCCTCTTCGCAGCGCCTCCATCTTCACAGACCTGTCCGAGGCGATTTCCTTCTCTGCCAGACCAACACAAGCTTTGAGCGCAGCGACAAAGGTGATCGAGTCTGGAGCAATACCTTCGTGTTGCATTCGCGAGTGGAACTCGAGAGCTAGCTCCTCATCCCCGGCGTCCGCAAATCCCAGTATCATCTCGGTCCACGAGACGACACTAAGTTCCTCCATTCTCTCGAAAACAATGCTCGCGTCCACCATGCTCCTGCACGTCGCATACATATCAATCAAAGCATTCGCAACGTAAATGTGTACCTCTCTATCGAGCCTGGCAACCCAAGCATGGATCTCCCTTCCTCTCCTCAAGAACTCGCATGGAACTGGGAAGTTTGTCTCAAGAGCTAGCTTGCCTCGATGATTCTTCTTCGCGAGGCTCGTGCACGCCTTGAGCGCTGCCAGGAACGTTACGTGATTTGCGACGGCGTCGCCATGGCCGTGTTCGCCAGAGAAGAGGCGTCCATAGACTTCTAGAGCCAATTCATCCTCGCCCCTGTCCACGCATCCCAGAATGATACAATTCCACGCCACAACGTTCTTGCTGCGATCCATCCCCTCGAAAACCTGGAATGCCTCGCCCAGGCTGCCGCATCGAGCATACATGTGAACCAGCGTCGTGGCCACGAAGAGATTGGACGCCGCGGCGCCCTGGATCGCATCCCTGTGAATCATCCTGCCATTGTGGAGATCTTTGGCGCTGCCGCAGCATTTGAGCGCCGCGACAATGGCAGCCACGCCCGGCCGGGCTCCCGATCGCTGGGTGTCAAGGTAAATCCTCAGCGCTACCCTGTCCTCGCTACGATTCCGTGCCGGGGCAGGGAGCGGGCGCACTGATTCTCCAGCCCTGCGCATTGAGCGCTAGTTACCTGGATTTTTCCTAGGGTTTATCGAGTTTTCGATGCGGTTCTAGCAGCACGACATCGTTTCCTGGACAGGGATCATCACAGGCTATGCTCACGAGAGCAAAGATGGAGAAGAAACTTTGCTTCTGCGATCAAAGCTTGCAAGACTCTCATGAAAATAAAGCTTGTGAAAATGGAAGTTTGATAAGATCTTCGTCCAGCATCCAAGTTGCCAGACGAGAGTACTGCGTTGTCCAAGGCCTTTGCACCTCGAGCGTGGATCGCCATGGTTCTCTCGAGTAGCTTCATGTCACCCTCTCCTTACGAAGACCTTCCCATTCTCTGAGAGAAAGCTCAAGAACTAGGATTCTTTCCCTCGTCCAGAGCCTTGATCGAGAAGATCCAGGAAAGTTGGGCCGTTTGGATGGCAGCCACGTCTTTGCGTCGGTGAGAACATCCATCCTCGATCTCCTCCATGCAGCCGTTCGTGTAGATGTTGGCCGATGGATCTCCCTGCGCGCATACCTTGGCCGCTAGCAGTGATCGCGCATTTAAATTTGAAGATTCGAAATGAAGCACGCTAAAGTTTAACAATTCTAAGGACGATAGTAAAAGTTAAGAAACACTCATTTCCTGTTAACTTCATCGTACTTTGGTTTCACACCTTCTAGCATTGTTGGCTCTTTCATCCACTTGTAGAGATCACGAAGAGGGGGCATACATTGTTTATTTTCTTCCAGTGCCTCACAATTCTGTTGAAGAATTGTGCCGTAATTTCTAAACATCGGTAAAGAATAGTGATACGAATGTTGTGGCAGTATACTCTTCTCATGAGAGCATGAGAAATCCATCAAAACTACTGGCTATCAAGGACGATGTGTCTTTTATGATTACTGATGATTTACATTGTACATATATAGTTTTGTAGTTTTTAATTGGCAGTGAAGCCATTT